ACAATTAACAATTTACAATTAACAGTAACAGTATTGTAGAAATTAATTTCACCGAAACAATAACGTGGCGCACACTGTGACATCAAAAAAGGCGCACACCTTTGATGCTGCGTTTTCTCCATTTTCTCTGTTTTTCTCGTCCACACGTAAATGCAAAAACTGAGTTTTAGAAAATATCCACCCTGGCCAGAGTTTTTAAAAATCTCCGTTTTCAGTGACCGAAAACACCGTTTACGTGTGGACGAAAGGTGCAAACGCATAGAAAAATCTGCGTTTTCAAAAATACCCGGGTACGTGTGGACGAGACTGTGTATAGATTTTTTTTTGTTACATTGTTACCCTACCAAGACCACCAATTTCTTTTGCCCTCATAATATTCCAGTTTCAGTTCATTTCCCAGAGTTTTTTTAATCTGTTGCTGTATGGTTCCAAGTGCCATCACCAATCTTTGCATTTTATTATTATCTCATAACACTTATTTTATCAGCTACAATCTCTCATATGGACTGTTTACATTCTACAGTCTCAGATCAACACAGCCCTGCTCTCCAGCACTATCAGCAGCAGGAGCAGCAGAAACCCCTCAACAGCAACATTGTACCCATCAAGTAAAACACAGACTGTGTTTGGGTTGCATTTTCCCCATCTGTTGACAGTGATATAGTATGATGTGATTCCATATTAGATTTTTGATGAATGTGTGTTGTTGTTATTCAGCCTGGTTCGATGAGCCCATTTAACTTTGAGAACCCGCCCCTTCAAACATCTCTGCGCGGCCCTGATGTCATTTGTGCAACCCACCTTCTCCCCATCTCTACCTCAACTGAGTTACTCAGACCTCCATCATCAGCACCACCAGTGTCTAGACCAGCGGTGTCGAACTCCAGGCCTCGAGGGCCGGTGTCCTGCAGGTTTTAGATCTCACCCTGGATCAACACACCTGAATCAAATGATTAGTTCATTACCAGGCCTCTGGAGAACTTCAGGACATGTTGAGGAGGTAATTTAGCCATTTAAATCAGCTGTGTTGGATCAAGGACACATCTAAAACCTGGAGTTCGACACCTGTGGTCTAGACACTGGAGGTTCATGTCATAAGTTACCAGTATCAGTTTATGCTATTTATAAATTGATTCAAAACCCCCCATAATTCTGATAGGAGGACATTATTCTGCCACTGTTCTAAGTGGATATCAGGCCCTTGTAGAGCAAAATTTAGTATTGTGGTCTAGACAACCCAAAATGTGATGTCCACATATGTGGACGCCAGGTCCAAGGAGGTTAAACAAATGTGGGAAAGCAAAAACAGCAGGTGTGACTTACTTCCCATTTCCAAAATGTTTCACTCCATTTTGTTTACTCGAGAAAAAATGTTTCTTCCTTACAACAAAAGCTCAAAAAAAAAAAAAAATGCTTAACCAATCCTTAAACAGTCCATGGATGGATTCAACATTATGACAGGGAATTAACTGCATATTAGTGGAAGTGAAAGCAGTGATTACACAGAAGTCTTTGTGTGCATAGAAATAAAACTACAAAAATATCGGCCCCAGCATGTCTCCATGGCTAAACTTGTATACAACAAACACTCCTGATCTACATGGCCAAATTGGACTTCATGAGATGCATATAATTCAGGGATTTACTTTAACACCAGTGTTGTATTCTGGTCAATGCAGGAAGAGTTTATGATCAATGATATAAGTTATTAAAAGCAGGGATGATTTTAGTAATTTTTTCACATTTGATCAGATACTGAACTTTGATACTTATCAATATTTAATGTTTTCAGTTTATAGATTTGTTTCTGGGGTAAATGAAAAAGTGGAGACAATTTAGCAGATTCATGTGTTTTTGGAGTCCCAGACCACAATGACTTGTGCTGCTGCATATATCATTACCCATTTGGTTTAATTTAATATTAGACAGAAATAAGTCGAGTGTGTAAGTGTTTATTGCAGAAAAATGTTGGTCATTCAAATTTCTACAGCCACAATCAACAGTTTTATGAACACAGAAATAAAAATAACACTGTCATCACATTATAAAACAAATTAATGATAAAAGAAATTATATACACATATATGTACACAGATACATTTTATGCATTCTTATCCATAGCTGCCATCTGGAGGTCTGTAGAGTTTGGGGAAGGTGAGAAGCTGGACGCTGCTGAAGGCGAACTTCCTGCTGCCAATGTTTTTCTCCACGTTCTCCATCCTGCAGCCATCCCTGCATACATACAGAGCAGGGCAGAAAGAGACACAAATACACAAATTAACATTGAGGCATGGACATACAATGGTTTAAGATTAGCATTTTTCATAAATATCTAAAACCAGTGGCAGTTTTGTTTATTGCTGCTTGTTTAAAAGATTCAAAATCAAGAGGAAAAATAAAGTAAAATGTAAATTGCTGACAGATAGGAAGAATAAATGAAATTAGAAAAGTAAATAATCACTCAACCATGAATACATTTTCAGGAGAGAATAGTTAAGGACACTGGACCACAGGAAGAACCACTTCTATTTATGTCTGTGAAGGTTTCATTCATTCATTCAGGTCATCGTAGTCGAAGGAGCTTGCAAAGAAAAGTGTCTGGACTTCTTTAAGTTGCTTGAAGACGTTTCACTTCTCATCCGAGAAGCTTCCTAAGTTCTAAGGTCAAATGGTGGAGAGTCCCAGATTTAAACCTAGTGGGAGTATCCCCCCGCAGAGGGACACCTTGGCTCAGGCGATTAGAGGATTATCAGGGGGTCCTTTTGTCCCTCTGTGGGGGGACACTCCCTCTAGGTTTAAATCTGGGACTCTCCACCATTTGACCTTAGAACTGAAGAAGCTTCTCGGATGAGAGGTGAAACGTCTTCAAGCAACTTAAAGAAGTCCAGACGCTTTTCTTTGCAAGCTCCTTTGACCACTTCTATTTATGTTTTGTAGGACATACAAGAGATTTAGGAGACTTTCACCACTTTTCTCATCCATCTTGGAGCAACTGTAACCTCATTATTTACTCAGGGATTATTAAACTATTTTTCATCAACAATTTTTATTTCATTTTAAACTTTGATAACAGAACTGAAAAATAAATACATAAATAAATAATTACACACACACACACACAAAAAAAAACAAAGACAAAGGGAGGTTATCCTATTCTTTCTTTGCACACCAATCCCCGCACCACCACTCTCTCATTACTTTGTTCTTCAAGTTACAGAAAGCCAGCTTGTAAAGGGGGACCAAATGCAATCAGATTGATGCAATTTATCTAATAAACCATAAGTCACTTTTTCGTAAAACACCAACTTAGCCATCGTCATTAGCCACTCCTCATAGGGAGGGGGGCTCTTTTTCCGCCAATGTCTTAGCCAGACCCATTTGGCCGTAGTAAGAGCCAGAATAATCCATCTATTTGTATAACTGGAAAAGTCTCCATCAGAAAGTTCTGTGGTTATATCAAGTATGGACAGTTTTGGTGAGATACCAAATCTCCTTTGGAAAACACTGAAAATTACCCCCATTATGTTTTCCCACCAATCCCGAAGTCCCGAACATAAGATATGTAAAATCGAAGCGTTTTGACCATCACATCTCCAACATTCGTCCGTGGGGGCCAAGTTCCATTTATACAGTCGTTGCACTGTTCAATGCCACCTATTGATTATCTTAAGTTGAATAAATCTACTGCCTGTTTCTTTATACACAGTGTTAACATTATGAATACATGAATCCCATTCAACTGAAGATATGTCCAATGCCATGTCCTGGGCCCAATAGCCCTTAACTTTAAAGAGAGGGTCAGCTGACCGTTCTTGCAATAAATGATAAATTTTAGAAGTAATACCTTTACCCAAGGATGATCTTGAGAGCAGGACTTCCACAGGGCTGCCCACAGGAAAACTCAAAGGAGTTCCCAGCCAATTTGATAATGAACTATGTATTTGGACATATCTCCAGAATTGATTACGCTGCAACTTGTATAACTCCACAACTTCATCAAAGCTTAAAAAACATTTGGTCCCCCAGTCAAACAAATCTGATACATAAAGGATGCCTGCCTTACGCCACTGTAACCAGTCAGCCGATGTCCCTCCAATTAAAATTCTTTTATTCCCCCATAGCGTTGCCGAAGGAGATTTAATAAAGTCCCAGCGACCCGCCCTATGTAATTTACACAACAATGTCTTCACATTTGCAATTATAGGATGGGTAAGAAATAAGAAATAAATAAATAGCGCAGCTTGTAAAATGTACAAGGATAGAAGTGTTAGAGGCCAAGAGCAGCAGGTATGTCAGAGGTGGAGATAACTGTGCCAAAGACAGTCAGCAGCATTAAAGATTTGAATCCAACTTGTGTGAGAGATAATCTAGGGGTACAATCTTACAATGTAGGGGTAGGGGCTGATGGGGAATGGTAATGAACAGAGTTCAGCCTTCTGACAACCTGGTGAATGAAGCTGTTCAACAGTCTAGTGGAGCGAGCCCGAACACTCCTGTACATCCTCTCCGAAGGCTGAAGAGGGAGTGTGAAGGGTGTATACTGATCATGTCTGAGTTAAGAAAAATAAATACATAAAATAATAAAATCGCTTAAAAATAAAATTGTTTAAAAAACTCCCTCCCCCCCAAAAAAGATAAAGATAACATACATTGAGAAAAGAGGAGAAAACAAAATACATTAAAAAAAATTAGAACACCACTGGTTTAAAATACAAAAAAATGTTTTTCAAACTGTTTTAAAGATATCCAATGTTGACGACCTCCTGATGCGAAGAGGCATTTTGTGCCCTAATTCAGAAGCAGCCACTTCTACAAACCCATCTCCTCTTTTAATCTGGATCTTGGGAGACAGCCAGGAGCATTTTCTCAGCAGACCTTAGTGATCTAGTGAGAGTGTGTAAGTACAACAATGAGTGTCCACAGCAAAATTGCTGGAAATACAAATACCATCAGATTTCGATTCACTGCACCCTGCGATACCATCAGCAAAGCATCTGATTGGCAATTCCTTCATTTTTCAGAATGACATTGATGCCAAACACACTACCAGCGCAGTAAAAGCACATCTGGATAAATTAACAGACTTATCACACATGGAACTCAAATCCAATTTGGGATCACCCAGACAGAGAATAGAACAAAAGCCAACATCCAAAGAAGAGCTTTGAATGGCCTTCAAGTAGCCTGGAGAACTATTCCTGAAGACTTTACAGAAATTACAAGAAAGTTGCCTAAGAGAGTTCAGATTGCGCTGGTCAAAAACATGGTTGTACCTTTTATTCACTTTTAAGCTCATTACACTTGTATAAACTGTTTTCCCCATCTCTACTGTAAATAGCTGCATTTGTTTCCCATTTCCCATGGTGTTCACAATGGTGCCGAAACCCAGCCGCCATGTTGGACTCCGAGCCTGCACAACCAGTACAGCTGCTCCAGCTGTTAGTCCGAATATTGGTGAATATCGTGGTCTTGCACCATGAGGAGGTGGCGGTGTACAAAGTAAAGCTGGACAGGCTGCAGAAGCGACAGACCGAGGTGCTGGAAAGGCACTGGCGGTGTTGATGCACTGGGGAGGGCGACGACCCGCAGTCATTTCTGGAAACCTTCCGGGCCACAGCAGAGGCATGCCAGTGGCCTGCCACGGAATGGACACCATGGTTGCTGCCAATGCTGTCGGGAGAGGCTCAGACGGCGCCTGTCATCTGCTTTACGGGGCAGTTTTGAGGACATCAGCCATGCGGGGCTTGATTACCTCTCCCCGGAGGATCACCACCGTCGTTTGTGTGGGCCTATTAGCTCCACGATGCAGGGGCTATGTGGCTGCAGCCCGGACCATTGGAGGGGGAGGCATGCATACTGGCAAAGGTGGTCTTGGAGCAGTTTGTGGATGGTCTGCCAGGGAAACAGCGGTCTGATGCCTACCATGCACTGGGGCACCAGTCCAGGGAAAAGATGGCCTTCTGTTCGGCTTGTTTGGAGCCCCTGACACTTTCTAGCATCACATGGACCAGGTAGGGGGGCACACAGTGCACAGGCCGCCACCTTCCTGGATGATGTTATCATTCACAGTAACACCTGGGTGGAGCATGTGCAGAAGGTGGGCGTGGTTCTGGAGTCTCTGATCTAGGCAGGGCTCACAGCCAACAGTATCTGGGGTACCACTTGGGGGGTGGGCAGGTGCATCCACAGGCGGAGAAGACAGCCGCCATTGCATCTGGCCTGTGCCCCAAGACCAAAAAGGCGGTGAGGAGGTTCCTGGGGCTGGTTGGGTATTGTCGCCGGTTTGTGCCTGGGTTTGCGGACCTGACCAGCCCCCCATCTCACGGGGGCTGGTCAGATCTTGTCTAGTGGACGAAGCGGTGCCAGGTGGCGTCTTGCAGATGGACGCCTCAAACGGAGAGCTGGAGCCAATTTGTCCCAGCAGGTAAGGGGGGTTGACTGCCGTAGGTGCAGCCAGATATGGCCCTGACCTCAGTCTGGCAGTGAGTGTGTGTGGTGTAGGGCTGTGAATAAATGACTGAACAGTGACTGAATGCTGTGGGTCTGTGGTGTTCACACCAATCAAAAAAAAGGGGGGAAAAAAGTATAGTTCAAGGATTTTTCAGTAGTACAGGATATGTGACAGCATGGGATGAGCTGGCCAAACACATGGACTCAGCTGGAATTAACTGAGCTCCAGAGGGGGACTCATTCTCTCATGAATGTTTCCAGAAGCAGTTTGCCTGGCTAAGTGCTCAATTTTAAACGCCTGGAAGTGATTGGAACACACAAATTCATTGATTTGGAAGGATGAAAAGAATACTTTTAGCAATACAGAATATCTTATAATAGTCAAGACTATGAACTGCAATGTGACTGGTTGGAAATCACAAATAGGTCCATAGGAGCATGATCATATCACCAAGCATCAGTCTTTTACAATTTGAAGGAGTGGTAAAACATTCCAGCAAAGTTCAAACTGATGATAATAAAAATGTAAAGTCATAAATGCTGCTAAAGTTCAAACTGCACCCTGGTCTGTAGTCTAAATGAAACAACCTGTCTGACAGCTTCTTTCTTATTAAAATATCGAGTGTTGCTGAGAGGAGAAATGGCACAGAAAGGAGTTCAGCTGGACCGAGAAACCTTCTCTTGTTCCATCTGTTTGGATCTACTGGAGGATCCTGTGACTATTCCCTGTGGACACAGCTACTGCATGAACTGTATTAAAACCCACTTTGATGAACAGGACAGGAAGGGAATCCACAGCTGCCCTCAGTGCATGGAGCAATTCACAACGAGGCCTGTACTGGTCAAGAGTACCATGTTAGCAGACTTACTGGAGGAGCTGAAGAAGACTGGACTCCAAGCTGCTCCAGCTGATCACAGCTATGCTGGACCTGAAGATGTGGCCTGTGATGTCTGCACTGGGAGGAAACTGAAAGCCATCAAGTCCTGTTTGATCTGTCCAGCCTCTTACTGTGAGAAACACCTCCAACCTCACTATGATGCAGCTCCATTAAAGAACCACAAACTTGTTGACCCTTACAGAAAGACCCAGGAGAACATCTGCTCTCGTCATGATGAGGTGATGAAGATTTTCTGTCGTACTGATCAGCAGAGTATCTGTTATCTCTGCTCGATGGATGAACATAAAGGCCATGAAACAGTCCCAGCTGCAGCAGAAAGGACTGAGA